AAAAATTATTATAATATACCCAAACCATTGAATTTTATACTTTAAATGGATGAATCTGATGGTATGTGGATTATACCTCAGTAAATCTGTCAAAAAGTTATTGTAATTAAGCCAGTGTGGTACTGGTTGAAGGACAGTCATGATCAAATAGAAGAGGATTGAGAATTTGGAAGCAGACGCATACAGTAAGTTCACTTGATTTATGACAAAAATGCCATGGCAGTGCAGTAGGAAAATTATTGTCTTTCAATAAATGGTGCTGGATCAATTAATGTTGCTTTAAATCATAAATTCATATGGACCACTTGTTTTTAAAGTATACATTAATTTGATAAACATTTTTAATATTATATTTAGAAAGTATCCAAGGTGGAAAGATGAAGACTTACAAGTTAAGTGAATAAGATAGCAGGCAAATAAATAAATAAATCAATCACCTTTTGGAGAGGGTTAGCATGCATTAATTATTAAGTCTATACTATAGGTACAAATAAGTAATTTTGATTTATGATACTTGTTGAACTAGAACTAGACCACCTGCATTTTCCTTAAATACCGTCAATATATACCTGAATACTGAATTAATTACTTCATTATTTTTTCACTCTAATTCTTTAGAATAATTTATGCAATGAAATAGTGGCCTACGTTGTGGCATTTGGTCAGCAATGTAAAGCCATCCACCATTACCATTGTTTACATTCACAGCAAAACATACAGCCAAATCAAATGATCAGGTTAAAAAAACAAATAAAACAACAATCCACATATCAGCCTCCCCCCCCCAATAAAACACCCAGGAAACAAAACAAATACAAACACTTGCCAACATTTAACACATGTGACAGAGTAGATGGTTAATGTCTAACCTTTATCCACTGGAGATTTGTGTACTTGAGCTTATTTTGAAGTTTATCCTGCTCTTCTGGGCTTATGGGAGCACTTACAAGTGCTGTTCCTCCGGTTTCATTTAATTGTTTTAGAATTCCCTGGCGCAGGGGCAACTCTTCCACCAGTAACTGAAACAGACAAATGCAACAACGTTTAAAATGAATTACAGCACAATTCCAACTGCCTTGTCTTCGCTTCTATTGATTAGTCTATCAAAATGAAGCAACTTGACCGAAGGCCCAGTGGTACCTCAAATAGCAACAGTTTTCTGCAGAGCACAGAGCTAATGGACTGAAACACCCACTGTTCAGTAGATAAACCTTCCTGAAAAGGACCAGATTATCTATCCCTCACAGATTTTTTTTTCACTAGAAAAATGGTAGATGGTAAAACAACACCCCAAAGAGAGTTAGAGTCTGAAAACATATTTCTATCACAAATAGAACAATCTGGGTATATTCATCAACTTCTTAGATACCATAGCATACCATAGCATGCCACTGAGTAAGAAACTGCATATCATCTTAAGAGATAACTAATACTGATAATATTCACTCTCAATGCACACAGTGCCAGGTACTGTGTTAATCTCTTCATGTATACTATCTCAGTTTATGTTCATATTATAATAACTATATTAAGTAGATCCTGTTATCTTATATTATTTTATATAGAAGAAAACTGAGACAGAGAGGTTAAATACTAGCTCCAAGGGCACAAAACTAGCAAGCAACAGAGCTGTGATTCAAACTTAGGCGGTTTCATTCCAAACCCTTATTTTTGACTCCTTCACATATCTGATTTTCTCTTATTCATTCAGCATCACATTATGTATGCCCTTTCTCAATACCTGCAAAACAACCATGATGCTATGGTTTTATTTATTTTTGTCATCTAGTGTTGCAGTGTCCTGTATTGTAGCCACTAGCCACATGAAACTATTTAAATTTAAATTAATTAAAATTTAATAAACTAAAATTTCAGTTCCTAAGATGCACTAGCCACCTTTGAAGTATTCAAAAGGCACAAATGGCTAGTGGCTATAAAAAGGGTTAATGCAGAACATTTCCATTATCATAGAAGTTCTATTGGGCAGCCCTGATCTAGATTGTCTAAGGAGAGGATCCATGGGAAGATGTCTGATTAGAGATATCAGTTGCCAGATCGTCTCAGAAAGAAGGATAAGTTTTAAATGAGGAAAAATAAAAACATAGATCAGGTGTAATTCTGAGAAAAAAGTGTCAGAACCTACCAGAGATTCCACAGGAAGAAGTTGCAGAGCAGAACAAGAAAGAGCAAGATATTGCCAGAGATTAAACTCTGAGAGACTTGGAGCCTGGTGGAAAGGGTAGGTGGGAGTTTTATTTCTCCTACCTTCACACCTCTGGCAGTCAGCAGGTTCCCAAGGGGCTGGAGAGCTTTTCTACCCTCACGAGCCCCAAAGCTGCTGCCACCAGTGAACTGCGAGCTTCTTGAGGACAAACCTTCAGGCTGCCAGCCCCCTCAGGGTCACTTCCCAACACCACAGACCCAAGCCAAGATAGTGGGCATCATATTGCTTCTCCACCCACTGTGTGCCTTTGTCCACCCTCAGGGAGCTTCGTCCCTTCAGTTTTTATGTAACTTGTTCCCACACAAACATTTCCTAATTCCAGCCCAGACTGCAGTGGCCATACAGGGGCCAGTGGGTTCTGGGGGATCTGTGTGATCCCAGAGCTTGTACATTCCGGTGGGCTGCCTTCCAAGGAGAGGGATAGAGATGACCAGAGCACCAGCTGGCCTCCACTTTGACTTTTTTTACTCTCCTTCCCCTCCCCCACATACTGCTGCCTAGAGGCACTGGTGCCCCAAGTGACAATTGAGCCAAGACTCTCAGGAGTTGCTGCTTCCCCTGTGTTTGTGTGTCCATTACAACGAGGCTCCAACAGAGAGTGGGGCTCATACCTTTCCTCTGGAAGACCTGTAACAGACCAAGAGTGCTCAGATGTGAGCTCCCTGCCTGCCAGCCCTCTCCAGTGCTGCTCGTGTAGCTGCTCCACCAGAGCAGGGCATACCCCAAAGCAGAGGGACATTAAACCTGCTTGAGCACTCCACGGGCAAGTTGGGACCATCATGCTTCTCCCTGAATGGTCAAGAATTGAACTTGGGGGATCAGAAGACAGGCCCACAGGCTGGACCTCATAACCCCAGGACTCAATTGCTTTGCTCAGGGACACAGAGGCGAAATTTGTGAACTAGTTTTAGGAGGCGAGGGAGCCTGCATGGGCAGAATTGAGAGGAGAGTTCAGTGTTGTTCAGAGACATGGTGTACTCGGGAGCAGCCCTCTCCCCACAGGAAAGCTGCACTCTCAGCCCAGGGTGGAATCCTCAACAGGGAAGCTCCCAGCCTGCAGTGCCACTGCTGGTGAGCTCAGCTACTTTGAGTTTCTGCCCGTGGCCAAATGCCCAAAGGAGACTTTGGGGCAAGAGAGGAGGGAGAAGAGTGAAACCCACTGCTGACAGCCAAACTGTGAATCCCAAACTGCCCCTCCCACATGAGCAGACTTTCTGGCTTGGTGGGGCCACTTCAGCCCCTCCCTGGGGGCTTTCCCCAGTGACTGGGAGCTGACCTTTCACCCCTGATGAGATAGCTCTTTTGCCTGCCTTTGTGGAGCCAGAATGTAGGCTCACCTGACCCAGTTCCATCTAGCCTCACTCCTCCACCCACCTCTGCTGTGATGGAGAATAAGGAGTGCCCTGTGGGCCCCACTCACCACCTAGGGCATCCAAGTACTTCTCCTGAGAGGGTAGAGCTAATTACAGGTCCCCAAAAAACAATGCTGCAGCTGGCTCTATCTGGTGAGCGCCACTTACTGGCAGGGAGGACAACTTGTACACCCCATTACAGCATTACTGATTCAATCATGCAGGGTGTGGCTGATTGTTACTCACAAGCAACACCTACTATCTCAGAGATTAAACTAGGCATCCCAATATAATTCACACTATTAAGAAGACCACAGGACTGAGGAGAGAAAGGATTTCAAAGACCTCCATCTTCCATTATCAATAAAAGACAGGGAATCTGCCCACACACATAGCTCACTACCTCTGCAGCCTACAAACAACTAGCAAGTGAGAAAACCACCACACTATGGATTATTTTGACCAAAGTATCCATCCAGAACCTGGACACCCATCAGAGTGTCCATGAGCAAGCCAAAGGTCCTTATCCAACGCATGCTACAGACACAGCCTTAAGAGTGAGGTGAGGGGAAGACCCATTTAAACAAAAGAAAATCAAAAACAAGAAGCAACAGCTGCTCCAGATGAGAAGCAATCAGTGCAAGAACTCTGGAAGAATGAAAAATGAGAGTGAAAAGATACCCTCAAAGGAGCACACCAGCTCTCTAGCAATGGATCCCAACCAAAATGAAAACATTGAAATGATAAATAAAGATTTCCAAATATAGATTATAAGGAAGCTCAATGAAATCTAAGAGAGAATGGAAAACCAAATGAAAGAAACCAGAAAAAACAATTCAGGAAATGAACAAAAAATTTACTAAAGAGATGACACATTAAAAAAAAAAAAAAACAAGTAGAAATTTTGGAAATGAAAAATACATTTAATGACATAGAAAACACAGTGGAAATCTTTAAGAATAGACTAGATCAGGCAGAAGAAAGAATTTCAGAGTTTGAAGACAACTTTTTCAAATTAACCCAGTCAGTCAAAAATAAAGAACGAAGAATCAAGAGGAATGAACAAAAACTACGAGAAATATGGGATTATGTAGAAAGGCCAGATATAAGAATCATAGGCATCCCTGAGGGTGAAAAAGAAAAGTACAAGGTCTGGAAAACCTATTTGAAGAAATAATTGAGGAAAACTTCCCTGGTCTTGCTAGAGATTTAGAAATCCAGAAAGAAGCTCAATGAACACTTGGGAGATTCCCTGCAGAGAGAGAATCACCAAGACATACAATCATCAGACTGGCCAAAGTCAACATGAAGGAGTAACTCCTGAAAGCTGTGAGGAGAAAACATCAAGTAACTTACAAAGGAAAACCCATCAAGCTAACTGCAGACTTCTCAACTGAGACCTTATAAACCAGAAGGAATCAGGGCCCCATCTTCAGTTTTCTTAAACAGAACAACTGCCAGCCTAGAATTTTGTAGCCTGAAAAACTAAGTCTCATATATGAAGGAGAAATAAAGACTTTACCTGACAAGCAAGCACTGAGGGAATTTGTCACCACCAGACCTTTTCTGTAGGAAATACTTAGAAGGGCATTATACATGGATCAACACAATAGATACCCACCAGTGTAAAATCATGCAAATGTTAAAGCTCACAGCTCATATAAAACAATAGCACAAGTGGGAAAACAAAGCAATAAGGTATACCCGACATGATGAACAGAACAGCATCCCACATATCAATTCTATCACTCAATGTGAACAGTCCGAATGTCCTTCTCAAAAGATGTAGGCTAACTAAATGGATGAAAAAATACAACTTACATATATTCTGTCTCCAGGAAACACATATAATCCACAGGGAGTCAGAGAGACTTGAGGTGAAGGGACAGAAAAAATATTCCATGAAAATGGAAACCAAAAGAGAGCAGGTGTAACCATTCTCATATCAGATAAAGTTGACTTTAAACCAACAATGGTAAAGAAAGACAAAGATGGTCATTATATAATGATAAAGGGAGCAATTCAACAAGACATAACAACCTTAAATATATATATGCACCCAGATTGTCTAGGAGAAAAGATAATCAGTGCATATTTATTAATAAGTAAATGCAACTAAATATGTCTCTTAAATGGATTATCAGTTATGCTGTGGTATGTGACACTCTATACATTTAGGAAAGATCAATTTCTAAGAACAGACTGAGTTCATTTTTCCATGGTACAACCATCTTCAAATGGTTCTGAAACTTTTTATTTTTTGAATCTCAAATACCTATTACAAGGTATGACATATAGTAAGTGCTCCACATCTGCTCATTGAATTAAACCATATTTTAATTTAGATACTTTATCTCTTGTTCAAGTGCAAATTTCTAGTTTCATAGAAATAAATGGTTGACATTGGACCCTAATTTATGTGCGCAAACTAACTGAATCATTG